ATAACAATAACAGTCGGACGCAGTTAAAGCTCATTCTGCATGTCCTCGTAGTCGTCATTAGTGCATGAACTCGTTCACCACGACCTTCTTCATCTCCATATACACCATCCTCCACTATTCCTCATTATTCGTCTTGTAGGAGGAGGTAGAGGAGGAGCAGGAGATGGAGGTGGAGACGGAGGAGGATGAAGTAGGGAGAAGAAGTGGTAGACGGAAACAGACAATGAAGAGGCGGAGGAGGAGGAGGAGGAGGAGGAGGAGGAGGAGGAGGAGGAGGAGGAGGAGGAGGAGGGAGGCTGGGCAAGGGAGGGGGAGGAAGAGGAATGATTGGTTGGTAGGACGTGGACAAGTGTTGTGTGCCAGGAGATGCTATCGCAAAGATTGCCGAGAGGAAGGGAGTGGATCCATCCAAGATCAAGAAACATGGCCTTCCTGTTCGACAGGTATCCTCCTCTCCTGCTCCCCTTCCCTCTCCTTCTCCGCAACAGACACAGCAATAAGTTCCTCATGCTCTTCTTGTCTTCTGTCTCTTGACGCCTTCTGCTCGCTTCCTCCACTCACTTTCTTGTCCTCCAGGGCTTTTGGGACGCCGGGTCAAAGCGAGGACACAACGCCAAGATAAGAGCAAGTCTGGGATTGAAGGTTCAACCGCTCATCTTCTCCGTTCTCCATCATCATCATCATCATCATCATCATCATCATCATCATCATCATCATCATCTCCATCATGTTTTATCCTCGTCTGGTCCTGACATGACCAGCAGCAAGTGCCGACGGTGCTGGTGGTGGGAGGAGGCGACGGAGTGGGAGGGCTGCAGAAGATCGCGGAGGCTGTGGGGGATCAGCTCAAGGATGTGAAGGAGAATGTGCAAGTAGTTGTTATCTGTGGCAAGAATGAGGCAGTCAAGAAGGTACTCCTCCTCCTCCTCCTCCTCCCCCTCTCCTCCTCCTGCTCCTCTTCCTCGTCCTCGTCCTCCTCCTGCTCCTGCTGCTCCTCCTTCTCTGCTTTTCTCCGGCTGATCTCAAGCTTCAGGCTCTCTCCTCTCGCTTCTGGCCCACCAACGTTGACGTCATTATCAACGGATTCGTTTCCAACATGGACGAGTGGATGGTCTCCTCCTCCTCCTCCTCCCCTCCTCCTCCTCCTCCTCCTCCTACCCCTCCTCCTCCTCCTCCTTCTCTCCTACCACTCCTCCTCTTCCTCCTCCCTCGCTATCTCTCTCTCCTCCCCCTTCAGCTCTTCCTCCACTTCCTCGTCCTCTGCTTGCTTCTTCTCCTCCTCCCTCGCTCTCTTACCTCCTCTCAGATCGCCGCGGACTGTATCGTCACCAAGGCTGGTCCTGGCACCATAGCTGAGGCGAGCATAGTCGGTCTTCCTACCATGCTCTCGGGCTTCCTGCCCGGACAAGAAGAAGGTTGTTCCTCCTCCTCCTCCTGCTCCTTCTTCTGCTCCTTCTCCTGCTCCTTCTCCTGCTCCTGCTCCTGCTCCTCGTTCTCTGCTCCTCCTCCTCCTTCTCCTCGGATCCCCTCCCCCTAATCCTCCTCCTACTACTTCTACTATTTTTGTTTGCTTCCTTCGTTGTTATCGCTTATCTAATTCGCAACTGCAGGCAACGTGCCCTACGTGATGGATG